CCCCCCCCCCGGGGGAAATTTATGAAATAAAGCACTGCTTTGGGAGCTACAGAAAAACATCTAGAAGCATTTGAGCACACTGTCAAAAGCTGTTATAATATGAAATTTCAGGTGTGATTTTTTTTTTTTTACCGTTATAGATAGATTATTGTTAAACAAGTCTACAAACTGATAAATGTACAGCAGCACAGACTGATAAAGGTAGAGCAGCACAAACTGATAAAGGTAGAGCAGCACAGACTGATAAAGGTACATCAGCACAGACAGATAAAGGTACAGCAGCACAGACTGATAAAGGTACATCAGCACAGACAGATAAAGGTACAGCAGCACAGACTGATAAAGGTAGAGCAGCACAGACTGATAAAGGTAGAGCAGCACAGACTGATAAAGGTAGAGCAGCACAGACTGATAAAGGTAGAGCAGCACAGACTGATAAAGGTACAGCAGCACAGACTGATAAAGGTAGAGCAGCACAGACTGATAAAGGTACAGCAGCACAGACTGATAAAGGTACAGCAGCACAGACTGATAAAGGTAGAGCAGCACAGACTGATAAAGGTAGAGCAGCACAAACTGATAAAGGTAGAGCAGCACAGACTGATAAAGGTAGAGCAGCACAGACTGATTTGTTTACCTGAGCCCGAACAGTTGCACGTGTACGAGTTGGCGCCGGTGACGCAGACCCCCTGTTCACAGGAGAGCTTACGGCACAAGTCAATCTGTGTCTCACATAATGTTCCAGTGAAGCCTGAAATCGGGTTCACAACATAATGCCACACAAAAAAATGCCACACAAAAAGTGACATGGACAAAACAAATATTTTTTGTTTTAAAAGAAAAAAATATGTGAACATTTAAATGTAGGTATTGGTAATGGTAACTGCAACAAATGCATGCAAATTAAGATGTTAGAAATCATTTTTTGTTGTTAGAGACCGACCGAAATTCGGATTCGGTTTCCGCGCTGAAAGTTACCATTTGACCACTTTCGGCCTAGCTTCGGTTTCGGCCCGAAAGTGACTGAGACTTTTGGCCATCTTGCCGAAAGTGATTGAGGTTTTCTGTCATCTACCAGAAGTCAGACTGTCTGTCTGTCTCTAGGCCGGCAATCCGATGCTCATTTTATTGCTCGACACCTTTGCTGTCATCGTATGTTATATGACTAATACTCTGCAAAAACTGCTTGCAAATGATTGATGATCAATTGTTCATTTATTTCCAAATATTAAATTTCAATTAAGCCTAGGGAAATGTAAAGAGTTATGTGGAAGAAAATCTATGGGAATGGTAATATATTTCAATTATTGCTTTTTTTATATTTTTAATAAAGTAAGAATTAGGGAAACTTAGACTTTTTTCAATTGCTCCATTTCTTGAAATTCATCATTATCATGCTCGTAAACATTGCTATGGACAAGATAACACACGTGTGCATGTATCGCTAGTTTGTATAATAATCATGTTGCAGGATTACTGCAGACCTGTTTACTTGTATGATTTGGCGAAAAATTTATGATTTACAGAAGTCTCATAGGAGTCTCCGTCGACACCAGTCAGAACAACAATTTAAAGATACCCCGGTTAAAAATATTTCCCTCCACCAATGGGGGTGAGGGAGGTTGGTCGCAAAAAGCAATAATTACGTCACCAGCACGGAAAGACTAGTGCGTGGTACTATGCTGAATAATAATACAGGGATATCTCGCCAGCTATTTATCAAAACACAAAGCATTAATAGGACGATAGCCTCGAAACGTTGTTGTGATATTTCTATAGCCTTAATAACTGATATTTTGGTGACAAATAATTATTATTGTAGATATATGTCTAGGTAGCGTTGGTGTTATATTATAAAAGCAAAGGGCACTTAAGGGTCTATTTTGCGTGCAATCCCCCCCCCCACCCGCGGTCCAAATTTTATTTTACCATACTACTTTAAAATACATTTTTTTAAAATTTAAATTGCTTTTAATTAAAATGGTAAAAGCCAAAGTATTCATTAGATGTGTATTTATTAATATTCCCGCTGATCTCTTGTTTTATAGAAAGATTGTAAATATTCATACTTTCCCCTATCATTTTTCGATGCATGCAAAACGTAAGCTTGAACTAATTTCACAAAATCTAAATCTTTCGGTCTCGGCTTCAGTTTTGGGCCAAAAATCTCCTGAAGCTTTTGGTTTCGGCCGAAAGTCTTGTCAAACTTTTGGTTTCGGCCAAAGTCCTTTTTAACTGTCGGCCCTGTTTCGGTTTTGGCCAAAATCAGAAAATCACTTTCCGTCGGACTCTAGTTGTTGTTACTATAATTTTTCTCCATGGATTTAATTTGTAAAATGTTTCAAGAACAATGCAACTCTCTTAAAATTTGATTTATTTAAAGATGTGTTTCAAAAATCAATGTTAATAAATGTGTTGGTGTCGGTTACGTTCATTAGTAACAGTTTGAATTCACACGCACCTTGCCACTTAGAAATTTGAGATTGAAGCTCAGAGACAATTTCCTATAAATAAAATCGAAAATGTTTCCTATAGTCTTAAAAATTCCCATTAATCCTCAATTGCCAGTAGCACGTTGTCAGGAAAAGAAGTC